TATATATTATATATACAAATTAATAGGTCAAGTAGTTTGGAATTTATTTGTATTGAATTATTAGAAAAAGATAAATATAAACTGTAATGGTCTGAAGGTTCTGGCCTTTGAGATAAGTAGGAGGTAAAGAAAAACTAATAGTTTGAGGGTGCTGATATAGAAAAGACTAATGTTAATATATTTGATTTTAGTTAAATATTTGGATAATGCCAAATAGCTTGAACTGGTAAGATAAAGTGATTAGATAAAAGTTTTGGTTTTAATAAAAGATAAATATAAGCTTTACTATAATTATTTTTAATAAAGATAATTAATATATAGCCATGTAAGTTATTAGGTAAGTAGTCAAAGTTATGAATATGTTGTAAAAAAATAATAATAGTTTGAGAATAAGAAAGTAGTGATATGTGGTTGTAAAATAAAAATTTTTTGTAGCAAGTACTAAATTAGATGTTGTTATAGTATCATTTAACTATTGTGGTTTCATTATAGCTATCTAAAATAGTTCCTATTAATTAAAGATAGATGTTGTCTAGTTCATTATCTTTTATGATTAAATTAGTATCTAATATATTATTGTTTATTAGAGAGAATTTAGAAAGGATAGATATAAATAGATAGTAGGTATAACCTGATAGTTGTGAGAAGAAGTAATCAGATAAGGGTTGAGACACATATGGTAAATATATATAACATTTACTATAGTCAAGTTTGATTGCTAATCTGAGTGCATAGTTAAAGTTATTGTATTATGTAAAGTTGTACTAATAGATATGTTTAGAAATAAGTTGAGTGTTTGTGAATGTAGAAGTAAAAGTAGATTTAGACATGCTAGCTATTAGTTATAGCATGAGTCTGGATTATATAATGTCTTGTAAATTGGTTTTTGTGATGCTTTCTTAATATTTGATAATAAAATGTGATTTAAGGAAGTAAAGATTTTTCTGTAAATTTGCTCACCATATGCTTGACTCTTATAGCTGCAAAGAATGCTATAGTCTGCTCTGTACATTGAGTCAATTTTTATATTTTATATATAACATTATAGATTTTATTAATACAAATTCTTCTTTTGTAAATTGTCAATTAAATAAATTTATAAATAATTAAATCTTAATTAAAGTTAAAATATAAATTAACTTAAAAAGATTTATATTTTATAATTTTATAATAATTTATATATGCTTACCTATACTAAAATAAGATCTATGAGGATTTGAGTTCTATAACTTAGTAGGTAAGCTTCCAAACTCTTTATAAACAAGATTAATAGTTAAGACAGACTAAAAGCAATTTTGTTTTTGTAACCTATTGGACTCATTAATCAGATATAAAGCTTTATAAAAAAGTTCAAGTGCAAGTACATATTTAAATAAAGAATTCCTGAAAGGAAACTTAATTATGAAGTACAGACATTATGTATAACAAGTAGTTGTTACAAAAAGTTAAAGTTATAAAAAGATTGTATATATAAGTTCTTCAAATTAGAATAGCACTAACATTCTTATACCTTTTAATATAAGCATTACCAACATTCTTACATCCAACTTGTAAGATACTTGTTTGAAAAAATAATCAATAAATTGTGTAAATAGGATCTAATTGAAATCTAAAAAAAGGATTTAATTAGAAGAATAGTCTGTAAATAACTAAGACTAAAATAATAAAAGAAGCAGTAAACATGAAGATGATTAGTAATAAATTGACCTAACCAAAAATTGAAAACACTTTTGATACAACTAAATAATCAAATATAGAAGAAAAAATCTTGAAAGATGGCATATAACTTTACATAAATATAATTACAGATAATAGTATTTCTGATATTTAGAATATGTATTAAATTTGATAAGTATCTTTGTCTGTGTAGTAGTTTAATGAAATGACTTAATCACAAGTAGTTACTAAGGTAACTGCATGCAAGCATGCAACAGACATGTATTTAGATGCCATATAGGTAACTAAGTGAAGTTAATAGTATAAAATTAGATAATAAATATAGTACTAATAATAATTAATTCTAAACATGTAATGATAAAATTTGTATTATATTAAATTAAGCTTAATAAACTAACTGGCAGTGTTATCAAAGTTAAAAAAAAAAAGATCTAAATAAAATTTTCAATTACTTATATAATATTGTAATATTTTTCAAGGTTAGTTTTTTTTGTTTTATTTTTCAAATAATGAATAAAGTTTCTATTAGTATAGTTAATTAGTATATTACTTTTTTATAATACTCAAATAAAAAAACAACAATTTTTATTTATCTGAGAATTACATACTAACTGTTAAATAAACTTTGTAAGTGTTTTAGTATTTTACTTCTTTATTTAATTTCAATAAATATAATCATATTTTTTAAAAACTTTTACTATAACAACCTTTTTAGAAAAATGATTAAAAAAATCAATAATTCAGATATTTAATAAATTTTTATTTCAGTAATTCAAAGTTAAATACTTAATCTTTTGTCTTGTCAGATTTTAAAATTACAATCAAGTCACATAATTAAAACAGACATGGTTTAAAATAATACAATCAAACCTCTTTACATTCATGGTTTTAATAATTTGATACTTATAAAGAGTTTGTGTCTATATAAGAATTAAATTTTATATATGTTATATAGTCAGATCTCTCTATAATCATCTTCTTTATAGCTACTTTGCTTATAATTATATAAAATTTTAAAACCAGCTTATATAATATTTATAAAATTTAATTTCCATTTAGACACAAATTCTTTATAAATATTAAATTATTAAAACTAAGAATGTGATTATAGAAAGATTTGACTATATAAGCTAATTTAAAATTTTATATGATTATAAGCAAATGTGACTATGGAGAGGTCTTACTATATATGTACAGAACTAACAAAAGTAATGCCTAATGATTATTTTCATAGTAAAACATATAAAAAATTAAAATTTACATAATTATAAAAGTCAATATTTTTTTTATTTTTTTAAAAAAAATTTAATTTGATTAGTAAATTTAATGTTTATATTCTATAATATTTGAGTTTTACTAAGATGAACAATTAAAATTTAGAAGTGTGATGATCTAGTAAAGTGGTCAGGTTGTCAACCCCAAAGTGGCAGGTCCAAAGTTCAAATCTCAGTGTTAACAGAAAATTTGAAAATTTTTTCTGTATTATGGTTAACTGTCTCTTATAATTGGTTAGAATAAAATACCTGTTACCTGTATTGTATTAGCATAACTAGCAGGTTACAGGCATTTATATAACAGTCACATGATATTGTCCTTTGGAACAAAATCTGTAATTATATAAAAGAATGCAAACTAGTACCAGGTGGTGCAAATTTACAATAAGTTCTTATGACCATATAAATCATAAGAACCAAAAAAAAAAAGATGAAAACCTACTTGAAAGACCTAAATAGAAAGATAACCTGAATTTTTGATGATGTTACTATAAAAACTAGACTTATGAAATGAAGCTAGAACTTGTAAAACTGAACAAATATACCAATCTTTGAGAATAAGATTAGAATCAGTTTAGTTAACTAGAAATTTTATATAATAAACTACTATATTTAGTCAACTAATTAGTCAACTAAATATAGTAGTCAACTAAACTGATTCTTATTCCTATTTGAGAAAGGACTAAATAAACCAATCAGGGCACTAGAATTTCTGGATTTTAAGAAAAGGTTACATACCAGCAAACATATAAATTAAAGATTTATAGTTTCAATCTATTTTTCTAAGTTATCTGAAATAACAACTTGTTAGAACTTGAATTGAATACCAAAATAGTAAAAATATGTTGTGAAGTTAGTACTGGGGTTAGAACAAACTCTACAAGAACATAGTAATTTAATAGTATGCCCTAATCATTAATATTGGTCTTGGCCATAGTGATATCAGATTAACTGTAAAAATAGAATACAGAAGATTTTGAAAAGTTTAATACAAGATCAAAGGTTTTAAAGAATTGCTTTAAAGACTTAGTAACCATGACATATTTTCATCAGTATTGGCTAGGAATGGATATGAAAACTAAAGTGGTTAAATAGGAAACCTACAAGCAGGTTTCAGATATAACAGCTAGTATAAAACCTTTAGGTAGACTACTTAAATTAGACAATGACTAAAGTTGTACAAGTAACTAGTTGTACATTCTTTTCATAGTTGCCTTCTGTAGTTGTAATGCAACCATTAACCAAATATACTATTAATAAAATTTTGAATAGCAAGTACTTATCTTAATATTTAAAAAAAAAAAAATTAATTGATTAAGTTCATAAATTATATTACATAAAATTGTCTTTAAGATCAGATCAGATTTCAGTTAAATATTGCAATTATTGAAATAATAAAAAAAAACCATGTTTACGTTATACGAAATCTAATTACTATGTTGACTGTTATCGTTTATGTTGTCAGATAACGATTACATGACAACCTAGTGCTAGTTATTCTAGTTGATCTACAGTATCAAAAGTCTATACAAGCTTTTGTACCGAAAAATTGGCATTGTGCCTGGTTAAACCTATTATGTACGTAAAAGCAGGAAAACTTTATGTAAATCGACATTAACACCGCCTCATTATTATTTAGGCAAACATGTATGGTAAATATAGTAAAACCGGTAAAACCGGTCTTTGTGTTGCATTAATTTCTGGGATGAGGAAATCAAGTGTACAACAGCAAACTTGCCCGACAAAACCCAAAACTCTATTTTGTGTTCCAGCCAAAAATTACTAAGATTGGATAAATCAACTTATTTGTAAAAATCATAGGTTATTGGCTCATTAACTGTAATACTTAAATATATCTTTTTCCAATAAAAAACGGACTAATATTTTGTCATACGATACAATGTTTCGGGAGTTAGAATATAAATCATGTGCACAATGACTTTTTTTTTCTAATTACTGCATAAATCAAAAAAAATTTTGGCGATTTGCATAATCGCGTTTGTAATAAAATACTAAAGGCTTATTCCCTCGGACATTGAACATAATACGATGCCTGCCTCCGCTGCCGTTCCAGAGCCAAGATCTGTCAAAGAGGTAACCGCCAAGAAAAGCTCGATAAAAATTCCCCCTAAGCCAGATGAAGAAGCCTATAGAAAAGCAATTGAAGAAGTGAATACAACGATTGATAAATTACAACAAGACTTTGTGAGTTTTTTATTTTCAAATTGCCTTTTATATAAAAGTGAAGTGTTTGTACGCCTTCATTTTAGGCAGATGGCAATTTATATGAAATCAGATTTTTGTTGCTTTCATACGCTTGATTTATCATAAAGCAAATGAAAATATATGGGAGATTAACTCTTTAATCTATTATGATTTTAGAATGACGTAGTTGAAAAAATCAACAATACACCTGATAATGCGCCTGCATCTCAAAGACGTGAAGAACTTCGAGCTCAACTTGATAGACTTCGTGGAAAACAAGCCGAAATAAAAAAAAAACGTTATCAAAAAGTTGAGCAACTTAAAAATATGAATGATTCTTTGCAAAAAAAGGTGTGGTCGTTTTTACAATGTTATGTCATTATACCATTTTTACTTCATTTTCACTAACAAAAATATGATCTCTTACACTTTTATAGAAAAGGGATCTTAAGGCTATAAAGGATAAGCTTCAATTTCGAACTGTCAAGGATATTGATAATCAGATTATGTAAGTAAATTTCTCACCTAGTTCTTTTACGAATCGTCGCTTTTATTTGACCAATTCGAAAAATATCCATAATAATAGAAAATTAGAAAAGCAAGTCGAATCAGGTACTTTAAAAATTGTTGATGAAAAGAGGATTATTTCTGATATATCCGGCCTTAAAAGGTCGAAGAAAATTGTCGAAACTTTTGAAGCCCAACAAGCTGCTATTGAGGCTGAACAAAAAGTGATTGACGATATGAGAAAAGATCTTGAAGACAATGAATTAAAAGAAATAAACTCACAGTACGATACAATAAAAGCAGAACTTGAAACAATTAGTAAAGATCAAGCTATGGATAGAGAAAAGAGGAATGAATTATTTGATGAGAAAAAAAAAATACGTGAACAGATCAACGCCCAAATTGCCAATAGAAGAACCATTCAAGATGAATATAACAAGGCCAAACAGGAATATTGGCAAAAGGTGGATGAAGATCGTCGCTATAAAAGAGAAATACAAAGGAAGAAGAAAGAAGAATTAGAATTACAAAAGAAATCCCAAATTGCTGCTAAAAAATTGGAAGAAGCATCCATTCCAGCTTATGAAGAAGATATCCAAATTTGTGAAAGTCTTATTAATTACTTTCATATTCATCATGGAGTCGGTAAAGCTGAAGAAGTAGTTTCTAATCCAATTGTTAATGATAATAGTCAGCCTGATACTACTTCTAATATACGTCAGCCTGATACTACTTCTAATGTTCCAGAAGGATGTGTTTCTTTAACGAAAAAATATGAGGATGAAGATGATCTTTTTGGGGGTAAATTATCCAAGAAGGTTAAATCTCAAAAGAAAAAGAAGCCTAACAAGGCCAGTGGGTTTCAACTCCCTTTCAGTATTATGGATCAGTTGATTTTAGTTAAAGTTACAATTCCTCTTAGTCCTTCTGATGTCGAAAAAGTTGTTAATGAACTTACAGAAAAGAAAGACTATTTCGTCAAAAACCAAGACCGCATAACCAAAGAAAACATTGCTAAAGCTGAGGAAGAGATTGCCGCTTTGGAAGGCAAGGGACATAATAAAAAAGTTGATGATGAAAAGCTTGAAAAGGTAAACGAAAAAAATTCAGCGGAAGTTGTTGAAGAAAATTCCGAATTAAATAATGAGGTAAAAGAAGAATGTGCAATTGAAGGAACAGCCATTGGGCAAACTAATGAAGAATCTTAATAGAGTAAAATAGAATATTATAGAATATTATCCAAAGATAGTTTTTGTTTCTTATAATTTAATTACAGACGTATTTATAATAATGAACATTTTATTTATGTAGATAATTTGATTAAAATTTTTGAATCATTATATTTCATAGATATGTAGTCATTTTTATAGTATTTATATTTGGTTCTCTTTGGAAAATATAATTATTGAAAAATTGTCCTATTATCATCATCAAACATGTATTGTCAAAATTATTATAATAATAAAATATCGGTAAATTAGATTATGTTAGTTACACCGGGATCATGTGAATGATGATTATTAACGACTTTTGTAGTACGAATATGTGCATCAGTGTGATCTTAGTCGATTTTCACATGTTGTTACGTAATGTTCAAGATGTTTATCTTTTTAATGTAGGTCAATTGAGGAAATTGAAATTGTAAACTTCGTTTCCTCTACGAAAAATTAATATAATTCAAACATAAAAGTGCTAATACAATGCTGTTGGAGGTAAGGTTTCCAACACTTTAAAACATAATTTTGTTCTTTATGTTAAACTTTTTTTGCCTTCATAGATCATATCCTTTTTCTTTTCTCCAATTTTGTCCCTTTTCGACCCCTACTTATCTCGATTCACCGATGCATTAACTTCGCATAAAACACAACGTACAGCAGTAAAAACTATTTTTATCGGCATTGTAGTTGTAGCGTTAATTGCTACTACGTTAGTTGCATACCTATGCTTTTATATGCTGTACGTGCCTCAAATAGTACACGTGAAACCTGTATATCTACAATATCAGTATGTACTTCAATTATTTTATATCTATTGCAAGATTGCCGATGAATTAAATAAATTAATTAATTGACCTTTGAAATAATAATTCGTATAGCACTGGCAAATATCCGACAAGTGAGGTTGATTTTACTGAAGGTGGACAGTATTCACAAGTAAGTATACCATTTAATAATATCTTAATACTTTATTTAATTGTAAATAATTTTTTCGATTTTTTTTTTTTTTTGATAGGTTCTGACTGCAGGTCAAGCTTATGATGTTTCAATTGATTTACACGTTCCTGCATCCGATAGAAACATCGGCTTGGGTAAGTGATTCACAATATATACAAGTTACTGCCATAATATTTCAACAACAATTATCTTGAAAGCATTATTGTGAGTTCATAATGTGAATGCAACTTGTTTCATTAATATATTACCTATTTCAGGAAATTTTATGATCAGTCTAACGCTTTGGTCTAGTGCTACTAATGATACGGTTATAACGTCCAGTAGACCCGTAAGTATAAACTGTTAATATGTAATTTACGGTTACATATGTTTTTAATTGTTAATAATTTTTTCTATGGTAGTGTATTCTTACGTATCAATCAAAATTGCTTCGAATATTTTCTACTATGTGGCGATTGATCCCTTTGCTGGCGGGATTTACTAAAGAAGATCAAAGGCTAGAAGTCATCATGATAGAAAACCTGATTGAAACATCTGTAAGTTGGAAAATAATTGTCATCATTAATTCTATTATTAATATTAATGTCATTTGTATTGAAGGATACCCCAATCACAAAGGCATTGATTGGTGTTCACAATCCTGAACTCGAAGTTTACAGCGTTCAAATACGATTAGATGCTCACTTTAGAGGTTTACGGTATTATTAATTTCGGTTATTACCATTTTTATAAAGTACATTGATATCAAACATACTCAAGTCGACATATATTTTCATTTCAGTTACTTTATGTATTATCATTCAATGCCGGCAGCATTCTTTTTCATGACTCTTTTCCTTTTCTGGGAGATATTCTTTTCAGTAATTGCTTGGAGGTCACTTGTTACCTGGTGGCAAAATAAAATGCCGGGAGCCGTTGAGCCAGATACATCCGGTCCATCCGGTACTAAAGATGAAGGTCAAGACGGCAGAAATTCTGGCAAAGAAGATGGCTATGGAACATGGCAAGAAGTTCACCGTAATGATGCTATTGAAGGTGGTGTCACAACAGAAACGGATAGTGATGATGAACCGGTAATTTAATAATTATTGAATTTTATTATAAAATTTTATATTCTAAAATACTTAATTTTTTTTCCTTCAAAAGTCGCGCCCTGCTTCTGTAATATCACCATCTGTCACCAGACTTGCATCGGAAGCTGGTGAAACAAGTTACACCACTGAATCCTATACTACTGAAGATGATGATACACAAAGCGTCGTATCACGGACATTGGATGATGATGCTTCTGAAGCTGAAACAGAAACGGAGGGAGATGGTGACAATTAGGGGTTAGAATCAAATATTCGAATAACTGAATAGTCGAATCAATTCGTATTATGAATTTGAATTAATCCGAATATTCAAACCATTCATTATGCTGCTATTATAAAGCCTTTACATAGTCATTGCAAAAACATTATTATAATATGTTATAAGATTATTAGCAATTATTTTTAGCTGTTATACAATTATACAACCATTATATTACTTTTATACTGTTAGACAACAATTGCATTATTATTAGTGATTTTACCCAAATCTATTAGTTTGGGATTAGGTAAAATCCCAAATAGTATTTACTAGGTTTCGCAAAATACCTTTAATTTGCCATAATGTCAAATACTTTTGACATGTAACTTAACGTATTATTATTATTATTTTACGAGCAAGTGCTTATCGCAGTAACTTTTATTAAACATAATGTTAATACATATTTCCATTGATTAGGACTAATTTATTCATGCACTAATTCATTACTAGTTTAGTTGATTTTGTTGTCTGATCTATATTTTTGTATCACTATATTAGTATTTCCTTACTAAATATATTCCCTTGCATATACATCGTAGGAGACTTTCAAATTGGTTCGCAGTCATATAGAAATACTTAACAGTTTGATATATACAAAACAATCTGTATGCTTGTGATCATCGGATCAAGCTTTACTCTCTTATCCTCTGTCAACTTTAGCAAATAGTTTCATCATCCTTATGGGGGTTTTAATGTTTATTTCAGATATATATGTATACTATTTATTTATTGTGTTTTTCTCATTGGTCTAGACTTGGATGTAGGTGTAGTAAAAGTTATTTTTAATTAAGTTTTTGTAATATAAGATCATTTTCAATTTGTAATTGTATTAAAAAATTTTTTTCATTCTTTATTAAAATTTATGTTTTTTATACGTAACTAATTTTAGACTTAATATACTGAGCCAACGTTTTATGGTTGCTTCTATAAGCATTTGCAAGTGATTTGTTTGCACTGGTCATTTCAATTGATGACATCTTCTTATAGAAAAGTATAAGAAAACAAAAAAAAACATACATAAAAAGAAAAAACAAAAATATAAAAATAGATGATAAAAAATATAAAATGAAAAATGAAAAAAATGAAAAAAATTCTTGTTAATAGTAATGGATAATTACAATTATAAGTTTGTATTAGGTTTTGAAAAATTATAAACTATATTAAATAAAAATAATTTTATTAATTTTTTTATTTTATTTTTATTTTTATTTTTTAATGTTAAAGTTAGTATTTATGACTTAGGATTTTATTGATAATATGTTTCAGCTTTGTGCTTGTATTATAACAGTTACAGAAAACAACTATAAGAAGAGTGTACAACTAGTCACTTGTATAATTTTAGTTATTGTTTAATTTAAGTAGTCTGTTTGAAGATTCTATACTAGTTGCCATATCTAGAATCCATCTGTGAGTCTTTTATTTAAACACTTTGGTTCTTATATCTATTTATTTATCTATTTTATTAACTGTCTTAGTTTTTACTAATACAAATTATTATAATTATTAAGTCTTTAAAGCAGTTTACTTATATAAAGAATTTTTAACTCTATACTAAACCTATTAGAGCTTTTTGTTATTTTAAATTTTAGTTAATCTGGTTTTTTTTTATAATTAAGACTAATACTTGCAATTAGAGTTAACTATTAAACTATTGTATCTTTATAGAATTTATACAATTTGAATATTTCTCTTTACAACTTTACTAATATCTTATATATTCTTGCAAATTCTTCTATATTACCAATTTAGTTAGCTCTATATAATTTAACTTCATACTTAGATTAATCAATTAGTCAGATTAATAAATTCTTTTTATTTAGAATTCTTATTTATACAAATCATCTATTTTAGGTTTTCTTCTTTAGATCAAGATTTTTATAAGTAATATTGTTAAAGATTATATTATCTTTCTATTTAAAATTTTCAAACAAGACTTCTTATTTAGTATATACTTTTTAGATTTATTTGTATAATATTACATATTTTTAAAGTTAATCTTGATATAACCAAAATTACTATTTTAGATATTTTATTTAAATTGTTAATATCTAATTTCTTATTATAGTTTATTTTTTCTAAATTTATTAATGTTATATTAAAATTAATCTTAGTATAACAAAAAATACAAAATTATAACCTCAGATATGTCTTTTAAGTTACCAAATTAGTATCTTTTTCAAAATTCTATTGTTAATAAAATTTGAACTCTAAACTTATTGCTTAAAGAATAACAATTTAATTATTATACTAGAATTATTATTCTTATTATTTATTTATTTATTTTTTTAAATGTTAAAGTAAGTACTTGCAACCTAGAAGTTTATTAGTAATTAGTCAATATATAACTATTGTATACAATAGTCACAAAGGCAATCATGAAAAGAGTATACAACTAGCCACTCATACAACTTTAGTTATTGTCTATTTTAAGTAGTCCATCTGAAAGTTCTATACTAGTTGCTATATCTAGTATTATAGATAGAACTGACTTAGGGAACTATTATAAAATGCTCCAAATGCCTCATGAAGTATTGTGATACCCATAACCTTAAACAATAAATGATAATTTCTTTTACAGTACAAGCCAAGCCCCATTAAATACTGTAGATCCTATTGTCAAAACACACTTATCCAATATGGCTTAACACCTTTCAAGGTAATATTACCTTAATAGATAAAGCATATGGTCATATAAGTATGTCTTTAATTGATTGTATAGCTATAAAAAAAAAAAGAATATCAATTAAAATGCAAAAAAGAAGTGCTAAATAAGTGAACAATAAAAGCTGTAAAAGTAAAGATATGAAAAAGTTAATTAAAAAGAGAAGTAAATAGGTTGAAATCTAGAAAAGAATATGTAAAAAATCAGAAAAAACTTTCAAAAATTTATTTAGAAAATAATTATAAATAGATGAGAAATTTTCTTCTTGTAAGATATATCTGACACAAAAAAAACAAATAAATAAAAGTCTTATTACTAAAACTCTAAACTTTAAAATAAATAAAATCATTTCTTAAAACTATACCTACTTTCTGTAATGTACTCAAAATTGTCTTACTGTGCCAAATCCTAAAAATTGCTCTAACACTCTTTAAGAAATATTACATAACATATCTATTTTTCTAGTGACAATTCATCACATTTGCCTTATCTTTATACATGTTTAGATTACCTCTGACACTAGAATCTGCCTATAGGTTCTTTATTTAAACACTCTAGTTTTTGTATCTATTCTGCTCTACCAACTGTAAATTAACTGCAAATATGTCATGATTACTAAATCATATTTAACTTTGTACTAAGTTCACTAGAGCTTTCTGTATTCTATACTTATAGTTAACCTAGTACTATTTTGGTCTAAACCATTACTTACAGTTAAGGCTAATCATTAAACTGCTATATTCTTATAAAGTTTATTAAAACCCTAATATCTTTCTTTTCTATTTTTTACTTCTTATTTCTGAATCTACAAAACTTTACAAACTACCAATCTAAATAGCCCAGTATAATATCTTAAGATTATTTTCCTCTGGCAGTTTCTAGTAGTCTGGTTGATATATGCTTCTCTACACATATTGTTGTCTAATCTATTCTAGTTATCCTTTTTTAAAGTCTTTCAATAGTCTAGTAGTACTATTGAAAGTCTATGTTATTTCTTTACTTAGAATTTTCAAGTGGATTTTTGTACTTCAGTTTTTTAGTATTATGCATCCAATGGTCTTATTGTAGGTTTGCACCAGAGTCTTATGCAATACTAGTTATTAACATTCTTCTATATATATGTAATATTACACTTTGCATAAATGCTCCAAGCTTCTATTCAAGATGGTGTCTCTAAGATTACAAATCATCTCTTTCATTCAACTGATTGACAAGACACAGTTACTGCAATATAGATATAATTTTTAAATTTTACTATCCATAAAATTTGAACACTAGACCTGCTACTTGGGGTTAACAACCTGTTTACTTCACTAGTTTACTATATCTCTATTATTATTTTTTTATTTTTTATTTTTTTTTCAGTATTAATATAACCTCTTTGGTCTAAGCTTTTTATTAATACTTATAACAGGTACATGTTTTATATAGATGTATTTATAATGAACTATTAGATGAGTATACAACTAGCTACATGTGTAACTTTTCTATATTACCTATTTAAAAAGTTCACTTGAAGGTTCCTTACCAGTTGCTGTACATAACATCTCTGCTTAAATGTTCTATTTAAACTCTCTGATCTAATTCTAATATTAATTTTACCAGATCATAGACTCAGATCTATTCACATTTGACTATAGGACTATAATCTTTAAACTATTTTTATCCTCAAGGTAAACCTACCAAAGTAAGCTGTATTCCTTTTTATTGCTAACCTGATTTGACACTATGGCCAAAACCAACACTTGCAGTCAAGAGTATTCCTTAAACTGCTATTACTCTTGTAAAGTTCATCCAAATCCTGATACTCATCTTTCTGACTTCTTCTCTATCATCTCCTACTAGCTGCAACTCAGAACTAACCAACTTCTTAGACTTCTAATTCAGATTGCCTGATATAATATACTTAGTGTTGGGTTTGAACATTGGACATGGATATTGAACTATCTATATCCAGTCCAATCCAATCAATTAGACCAGATATATTAGACATTGGACATTGTTCAATAGTAATATAATAAAAAAAAATTATTAATATATATATATTAATATATATTTTAATTTAATCTTATAATATATTCTTTAATTTAATTTTGCAATATTTAATAATATTAATTTTGATTTAATCTTTGAAAGCTTTTACATTGCTTTTCCTATTAATCCTAAGCTGTTTCTATCTTTTTTGACTAACTTTTATCACCTTATTTTTACAGCCTTCATTACTGTAGCATTTTTAAAGAAAAAGAACCCAAAATTGAAGAAAAACATCTATGCCATTTTTGTTACTTTAGTTTTTCCACCTATTAATATAATTGTATTTCATTTATTATGGCTACACTTAACCCAACAAGGTAATATTACCTTGATATCTGTTAATCTAAATGGGGCTTGGCTTCACAAAATTGGCATTGTTACTCAATAGGTTTGTTGCAGATAGTTAAATTTTTGCATCATTTCATGACGATTTTGTGTGCATTGTTTATGTACATTCTACCTCTAACAATACTTAAAAAAGTATTTTTTTTACTAAGTAAATCAAACTTAGTGAATAAAATTTGATTTGTTTAATAAAAAATCTTATTTCCTTGCATATGTTCAATTCGCTATTTTACTTATATTCACCATTTTACCTATATTTGCTATTTTATCCACATTTACTATTATACTCACATTCACCATTTTACCTATATTTGTCTATATTTTAAACAAAGTTCTGTTTTTTTTTTTTTTTAATATGTATATTCTGGCTAAACAGGTTTAAGACTGAAACAATTCAAATTAGTGATATTAAATTAAAACTGAATCTTATCATTATATATTCGAAAAGTATTGAAGTACAAACTGAGAGAGAACATGCTTTCAGAATTAACTATAGCTATGCTAGGTATCACTTTTATTAGCTGAATTCACAATGTATAGACATAAAGATCTACAAAATAACAAGATTTAGATACGTAGAAGAGCTTAAGCATAAATTTCGCTTCTTGTATTTGATGAGATGCTACTTGCCCATATTTGTGAATTTTCTATTTAATATAATTAATGAGATTATTATTAGCTTAATAATCCAAAACAGGAAGCTAATTAAATTTTAAATATCTGAAATGCATATGCTTCTCATACAATGCTAGATTTTTTGTTTGCTTAATTTGTGTTAGTTCTGGTTTAATTGGTGTTTTGGTTTGTGCAACTTAGCAGGTTCTCAACTAACATATCTCAGCTTTTTTATTTTTCTGATGTATCAACTCAAATTAAATTTTTTGAATATCAGTTTTCATTTACTTTAAATAATCATTAATTAAAAATATTAATCGATTTTAATCTGTTTCTAATATGTTTACTGCTCGGTTGTAAAATGAGATTATTTTTAGCAATTGTTAAAGTTTTTCTTATATCTTAGTAAACCTGATTGAATATTGTGCATCCTTTAATATATATATATAATCATTAATTCTATAAATCACCTTTTAGATTTTAAAAATCAATATTTTTGAAATTTAGCTAAAATTGAAATTTTAAAATAATAAAATCTTTTTTTAAATTATAACAGTATTGAAATGACCCTATAATAAAAATTTTAAATAAATGAAATACCAAAAGAGTCTTCATTTAAGAACTTAGAACTTAGAATTAATAACTACACTTGTATATGATTTGTATATGATTTTTATACTTTAATAATGATATTTTCGTTTGATAATATGAAATAGTTTATTGTCATTTATATATATAATAAGTATTTTCATGGTGATAGCAAAATTTTAAGTTTACTGATATTATTTAGCAATTATAATGAAAAGAAAAAGGCCTAAACAATATTATTTAATGGTATTTATAGAGGTTTTAAAGGAAAAGTCCAACACTTGTAACTATTTCGCTATTTGTTTAGCATGCAAAGAATTAAAAGGTTTTGATTATATATATGTGAATAAGTTTGTTAATACAAAGCAGCTTGTTAAGTCACATCTAAAAAATTGCAAACATTTTAAAAACCTAAAAAGAGAGCATGAAGTTACAAAAATTATAAATGATTCAGATAGTGAAAAAATGAAAAGCCAACAAAAAAAGCAACAATATATTTGTAAATATATAAATTTTTATATTATATTTTGTTATTTTAATATTAATTTTTAGATATATAGCTAAAATTTTATTATATTAATTAGTAGTGATGAATTTGATAGTCAAGCTTCCAACAAAAATAATTCTGAGATTGAACAAAAATCTCAAGGTCCATTAGATCCTTATATTATGCATGAAATTTCTAAAACTGAAAAATTAAAATTTAATTATTTACTTTTGAAAATGATGATATCCAATAGATGGAGTTTTCGATAGGTTGAAAATGCAGATTCATTGACTCTCTTTAAATTTATTAATCCAAAAATTACTTTTCCTATTCATAAACATTTAAGTAGAAAATTTTAAATAAGGTAATTATTAAATTTACATTAAGAATTAAAAAAATAGCAAAAAAAGATGAAATTGAAGTTACTATAACTATAAATAGTTGAACAAATGTTGTTAAGCAAAACTTATTAGGTAGCATTTTAATTATTTCTTCTGGAAAACCTCTAATTTGAAAAGTTCAAGATGTTAGTAGTGAAAGATCACATGCTAGTGATGTTATTTTGAAAGTAGAAGAGTTATTCAATAAGCTAGAGTCTTTGGAAATTAAGACCATTGCCTTAGTAACAGATAGTGCAGCAGCTTATACAGCAGCCAGGTAATTAACTAGTAAGATAGTTTTTTTTACTTTATATAAAATAACAAATCAACTATTTTGTAGAAGACAATTACAAGTAAAATATACGGATAAGGTTTTTTTACCTTGTTTTGCACACCAGATTAATTTATATATCAGTGAAATTTTTAAAGAATCATTAGCATTTAAAAATGCTATTGATAATGCAATTACTATAATAATGTATTTTGGAAATATCAATAATATATATTTTATTGGCAAATTGTGTGAACAGCAAAATATTTTATATCACAAATATGTTACTCTTATTAAACCAAGTGTAACCTGATGGAATTCTCATTTTTATTGCCTAGAAAGTATTTTAAAAACAAAGGAAACCCTTAAAGTAAGTGTTAATACCAAAAATTAATGCATTGTAATTTATAATTTAATTTTTTTTTTATTTAGATGCTAGTTGCAAAATATGAACCTTGTGATAATGATTTAAGTGAAGAATCATTTAGTTTTCAAAACACTGATAAATTAATACTTTCTAATAAAATATGTAGTATTATTAATGATGAGAATTGGTGATAACAAATAAAAGATATAAAATATCTATTATTACCTTATTGTTCTTGTCTTAATTTACTACAATGTGATAAGACACAACTCTTTAAAGTATTACATTCATTTGGGTATTTAGCTCGAGTATTGAAAGGGTATTATAATATTGACCTTGGTCAGTGACTTTTGAACTGTTTAGAAAAATGATGACAATTCTGAGAACAACCCTTGTTAATATTATCTTTTGTTTTATATCCAATCTATCAAATAAAAAAGTTTAATACAGCATTAAAAACTTTAACATGGGTTAATATAGAAGAATACATTTTATACTATTATTGTGTGTGGTTTCATCAACAACCCAATTCAATTTTACAAGAACTTAAGTTTTTTCACCAAAAAAAATCTCTATTTAACACAGCTATGTCAAAACAATTTGGCAATAATGTTATCAGATATTGGAAATACTGTACATCATATGCTAAAGAATTGGGTCAAGTTGTATTACAAATTTATAGGATTTATGTAAATGCTGCTTCTATTGAATGCTTATGGTCTTCAATAGGATTTATCCATTCTGATAGATATAATAAGTTGCAGGTAGCCAATTTGATTATTATTATTTCATATATGAGTAATAGAAAAAGAAAACCTATAAATTATGCTTTTTGAATATTTTTAGTAAAAATATTTTAAAACCAAAATTTTAAATTCAAAAAGTATTATTTACTGGTTTTCTTTTCCCATTATATATATTTATATATGCAACATATTTTTAATTATATCTTTATTATAGTTTTAAAAAGTATTAGTAATTAGTCAATTATATGGAATACTTACTCAAAATCATAGAATTCAAGAATTAGATGAGCTTAAAAGGCTTTACAAATCAACCTTAGCACCTTCCTTTTTAGACAATTCTAAAAGTATACTAAGTACTTTTTCTACATTCCAAGATACTGAAGCTGAAATTGATAGTTCTGAAAATGTAAATACTAATAATGATAAATATACTATGAAATTATAGTTATCAACATTGAATGAAGATAATTCAGATCATTATAAAGATTATTTGGATGAATATGAAGAATCACATAATATATTAAGATTAGATTGTATAATATAAATAAATTATTAACTGATTAAAAACATTCAGTAAAAGATAAAAAGGCCAAGTGGCCATTGAATGATTTATTTTCAGCTAATTTAGAGACACCTTTTTTTGTAACCAACATTTAAGTATTTATTATGCTTTTTTGTTAATAACATAAGTAAATAAAAATTTAAATGATTCAAGACGCATACCTATTTCTGATCTTCATGCTACTTAATTTATTTTTATTATTAATTTATTGAAACAATTCTTAAAATTTCAAGCTATATATAACAAAATTATTATGCGAATATTATTGTTTAATAAAACATTTACTTTATCAGACTTGGTTCCTAAATAATTAGTTCAACAAGAATGTAAAGATGCAAATCGACTCATCAGTTTTATTGATTAATTAGTTTTTTTTATAATACAAAAGCTATCAATCCATTTTGTATCTCTAATTTTGTGTAATGATAATGTATATTGTTTATCAGATTTTAAAGAAAAATGGCATTAGAAACTATTATGCAAATTCAGATTTTTGAGAAAGGTTGAGTTTAATAAGACAAAAATTAGTTATGTTTTATAATTTAATTTAATTCAAGTGATTTTTTACCTAATCTAACATAACTTCTGTTATAGTTTATGAAATTGCACTGTTATTATCACTGTAAAACATCTAATTGTAGATAATAAATGGATATAAAATAATACTCATAAAATTGTTTCTTTTATTATAATATCAAACATAAACATTTGGATTACAGTTTATGTTTATAAATAGCATTAATCCAAAACCCTAATGCTAATTAAATATTATATCACTCTGCCTTGACCTAAATTCATTATTCAAGTACATCATTTACGAACTATATCCTTTACAAGGTCAACATGTAATACGATGATTTGTCAATAAAAATTTAGTAATATGATTGGCTGTAAATCACGTGACTTTGTCAATCCTACGATTTGGACATTATTGAACTGGATTATGTCCAACTTATATGTCCAATATCCATGTCCAGTCTAATAGTATAAAAATAATTGAACATATGTCCAAGCCCAACACTGGTTATAAGTATAATAAGTAGTGTGATAAAAGTAAATTAAATAATGATAAAAACAAAAAAAATCCAGTTGTAAAATCCAGATATAATCCGATTTGATAAATTTGAAAATCGGATAATATCCGGATAGACATTTTTAAAGTGGATATCTATTCGATATCCGTTTAAGTATCCGGATCCAATCACTACATATAAATAGTACTACTGTACTATCTACATATGTCATGTGATTATTGGTACGTGAAAAATCACATGACCCGTACGTGTCCGTAGACTTTCCGAAAATCTTGTGGGTGAGCTACTAATGTCGTTGAAAAAAGTTACTGTCACGTGAAAATATTCGTGACGCACCAAAAAATCTTTAAGTTCGTCTAAGTTAGGGTTAATGTTTAAATAAAGCTTAGCGTTAGTGAGGTTTATAGTAAAATTGCTTATGAATTTTTTTTGTTAGAGCACAAAAGGTGGTTTCTTATGCAAATTTTTGAGAAACGAACGTTTTGTTTGAATTTTCCTGATCGTGTTACGTTACATTAAAGCGAGACTCGCTATTGGATAAGTCACTGTAAAACATCACGTGACAGAAACTTTTTTACGTGATACTGGATCCAGTGTAAAAAATTTCAAATTTAAATTATGTGCATCTAAAATGGCGTAAGCAAGATATCACATTTATCGGATAATATAATCTAAATACGTCATCTTTCGATTGCCTGTACACCCAATATAATGCACATCGCCTGATATTTCTATTAACAAAATATTAAATTTAATGTGTACGTTGCCACACATTAAAATTTTTTTTATGTTCACAAAAATAAAATTTACGTGCGGAATGAACATAGCGCATGTCAATTTTTTTTCACTGGTAGGACCCCCAATTTCTGCTACGATAAACCCCAAATTCTGCCTGCTTTATATGTGAATTATGCGACAAATTTTTAGAATTATGCTGTAAATTATGTGAATCAAGTAAAATTATACGAGAAGTTATGACTAGATTGTTGTTTTTTATATCTTATATACCCTATTAAAAACCGATTTTAACACATAAAAGTAACAATGGTTCCAAACTATACGACTAGAGTAGTGAATGCCTGTCATAATTATGTGTTATGGCAAAAAATGCACATAACTAATTATAGTTACAAGCTACAGTATTAAATATACAACTTTGGTTGCGGTTACTTATCAAAAGTTACTCCTAATTTTTACATGCTCGTGTCTACATTTCTAAATTCATCCGTTACTAATACAGCTTCCAACTAGTGATATGGGCTGACCCTCAGCCCATCGGCCAGATGGGGTGATAGTCAACCCATGCCTTTATGGGTCAGGCAAGCTGACTAAGATAAGTTAGGGTTTTAAATGTCAAGTTAATAAGATGGTTGATGTAAACTGCCAGAATTTTCTGGGTAAGTTATCGATTGATTTGGACAGCATTACAGCTGTTTTTATTATTTTTGGGATATCTGGTAAAAAATTGGCTAAATAATTGTTTAACCGATTAGATAAGTTATTGATTTCAGCATGATCAGTATAATGTTTATTATTTACCGAGATAGTCGAAAGCCAGGTATGTATATTTTAAATTGATTAGTAAATTGAAACTCACATGAAATATAAAGATTAAGCATTCAATAATGATCTGACAATCAATATTGATATAGTTTTGGTTAAATATCATATGTTCGAAGTATCTTTACTGGAAACTAGTCAAAAAATTTTTTAGAAAGATTATCAATCCAAACATTGCTGAACACTTAAGTGTTAGCAGATCTCCAATAAGTCATGTTCTTAAAACAATTTCAAAGATATAGATATGTTAAAAGATTTTTGCCACTTGTAAGAAACTCACATCTACTAAACTTGAATGATATAAAATATTATAAGGTTTTATAAAAGAAAAACCTGACTAGTATTTTATGTGTTATATCTGAGATGGAATTTTGGTTAAGATGGGAAAATAGAATTGTTTAAAGCCATATAGTATTTTATAGTTTCGTGTAAGTTTCAATTTGCAAATCAACTAGTAATCAATTCAAAACATACATACCTGTTTTTAAACTACTCAGTAAATAATAAAAGTTACACTTAACATGCCGAAATCAATAACTTATCAAATCGGACAAACAATCATTCGGTCAATTTATTATCAGATGTTTCAAAAATTATGAAAGCAGTTGTAAGTTAGAATAAAAAAAAAATATTGTGTAATATCGAAACTTTTTGAGATGGTAGATAGTTTACTGACATAAAACAAGAGCATGGTTGTCAGGAATTTTTGGAGGCATGACAATTTGTTTAGTAAAATTACAAAAATTACTGATAGGAGATCATGTTATAAATTTTTTAATAATATGGTCAGCCTGGTCTACCAGTGTTGTGATCAGGGAGAGCTTTAGTCTTACTTGAACCGATTTAACTTCGATCGTGAACAAGTTATTACTAAGGCTCAATTAATTATCTCTTAACTTTATAATGAGTTGTAGTCACGTGGTTACGGGATTAATAACGTCGGTTAAGCATCAATCAATACTTGTAATTAGAAATAGGATTACTAAATGACACTTTTATGGTTAGGAAATAGTCTCTCTTTATTAGCGTTTCTCTTTAATACATTCGTTACAGGGGAAGTATATTTACATATTTGCTTATAAACAAATACCAGAAAAACTACTAACTCTAACTCTTCCAGGGCGAAACACAACCCCTTTTATATCTTCAATTTATGGTAAAGCTATAAACCCTTGATAGGAACCTCGCTCTTCTCTAGGAGCTACAAACCCTTACTAGGAGCTACGAACTCCTATTAAGAGCTTCTAGCTCCCACTAGGAGCTACGAACTCCTATTAGAGCTTCTAGGAGCTAACCCCACCAAAATGCGCCACGTCGATCCCTTCCAAACTTTTACCCAAAATAAAATAAGAAAACAAAAATATCAATGAGGTATATACTAACTAAATAAGGTAATGTAAAAAAAACTAAGTGTAACACACCGGCCCGAGTAATTTTGTCAGCCAAGCGTTTGGCATCGGCCCGTATCACTACTTCCAATAAAAATTACCATTATACTTATTCTTCTCTTCTGCCCTAATTTTACCATTTTATACGCAGATTATTCTATATTAATTATGCGAAATTAGCCCCGATATACCAATATGCTATCGCATATGCTTTTGCGATATCCCTAATACTGGGGTAGTTATAGCGATCGATGAAATCTCGTGATGCACCCGACCCTTAAATATGGAAAAGAAGAGAAGACCAAGATATAGCCGATCACAGAGAATTGAAGAATCACCGGGCCGAAGTTACGAAGGTAACACGAAATTATAGACTATATAGCGATAATATACTGAATGTTGATTTTGAATATTTGATTTATAGTTTATTATGGTGCAAAATTTGCATACCGTAAATTCTCGAAATAGCGGGCACCTGCGCGCTATTTTGACTACATGCGCGTTATTTAGCGCCCATGGGCGTTATTTCAAGATAGAATATTGATTTTGGAACTCTCCTAATATACACCTGATTTACTGCTGTATATTCACCATTACCCGATATATTACGCTATTTTAAGAGTTATAATTTTCGAAACAACATCCATGCCCACTATTTCGAGGATTTACGGTGTAGTTAGACCTCTCTAAATGCATTATGACGGGACCATAAGTAACAATTTAGGTATTGCATAAAAATCTATACGTAAGTAATTTATCCTTTATAGTATTTTTCAGGCTGACTACATAGTATTATACTGCATTATCATATTTACTCAAAATAGCACACAAGGAGTTACTTAGGGCATACAATTTAGAGAGTGCTAATAATTAGTTTAGCCAAAGAGTTTTGGAAAAGAAT